CCCCCCTCGCTGGGCATTTTCAAAAACCAACTCAAGACCTGGTTATATAGACAGGCCTTCCCTCTGTGCACTACGCAACTTTCTTTCTTTATCTACTCTGTTTTGTGTAAATGTTGGAAACTGTTATTTTATATTGTTTTTATTCTGTGTCTAAATGGGCAGCATATAAGCTCAAATAAATAAGGGTGAAAATTTCGAATAGGCAAGGCTTACAAAATATTTTAAAAACCGTTAAGTGCATGGCTACAGGAATATGCTCCTTAGGATGTCTTTCCTTGATGTGTGTCTGTGTGTTGTTCCCTGTGGAGTATTAACATGAGCGTCTGAATGCTTTTCTGCCTTAACCTTCTTCCTTACGGGATTGCTTTAGCTCTTTTCTTTCTTTCTTCTTAACTCCGCTGTCTTCTCTGCTTCGCTGCTGTTGCTCTTGGCTCCTGCTCTACTTTCTGCTTGTGATTCTAAAGCCCGCAGCCCGCTTGAGACTTCTGTGCCCTGCCTAGCAACCCGCACATTGGATGATGAAATCCGGGTGCAGCGCAGCCCCAGCGTGGGATGGCTAAGTAAGTGGATGATGCAAAGGGGTTACCCTTTCCTGGAAATAGTATGGCTCGTGTGTGTATATCTTGTGTGTGTCAGAGTAAAGGGCATTCTTGTGCTACCGAAACCAGGAGATACAGAGAAGCTAAATACGGTTGTAGTTTTTTTCGGGCTGTTTGGCCTTGTCCTTAAAACAGCCCGAAAACCTACGAGAACCATTGGATCGCGGCCGTGAAAGCCTTCGTAAAACAGCCCGAAAACCTACGACAACCATTGGATCGCGCCCGTGAAAGCCTTCGAGAATGCAAACTAAATACAGTGGTGCCTCGCATAACGAGACTGCAAGCTAAATACTCTCAGCTGCATCTTTGCAGGTGGAAGCTCCTCCCGTTCTTAGCCGGACCTGCTGGTTTGTTGCCCAACTGAAATGCAAAGTTTGCTTTCTTTTCCATTCTGCTGCTGTATTGAAGACAAACCCCCTTGCTTGCCTATCAGATCTTCTGGCGCTTTTTATCACCTGTAAAAAAAACCAGGGCAGTTTTCATTTATTTCTCTTCTCACCAAGACTGTGTAGTGCGTTAGAATGTACCTCTTGACACCTCACGATGCGATCTTAACACGTCGTATTAGGTCTGCCCAGTCATTTTAAAATAGTCCAGAATGTTCCTTCTGCCAAGCCAACAGGAAGTAGATTGCGCACATAGGCTCTCTTAAGTCATTTCCCTCATTCTCTCAAGTTTGTGTTTTCTTTTTGTTAACCAGAGGTGGAAAGGATCTGAGGGATAAGGCCCCCACACATTTATTATGTGACCTTAATTAGTCATATGATTTCCTTCGTCAACATTTGATCCTAGACTTGAGCTTCATCAGCATACTGCTTCTTCCATTGTTAGTTGAATTTTCACTTGAGTATTTCTCCTTCTCACATCTTTTTCTTTGTCATCTAAATCACTGGTTCTTAACCTTGGGTTTCTCAGGAGTTTTGGACTGCAGCTCCCAGAAGCCTTCACCACCAGCTGCCCTGACTGGGGTTTCTGGGAGTTGCAGTTCAAAAGCATCCGAGTAACAAAGGTTAAGTCTTTGTCATCTAAATAAAAGTTAAGGTTCCTCTTACTTTTTCTCCTGTTCTTTGACTGGGCGTTCTTGTTAAGGCCTTTGAAAAACTCAACCTTTAGCCTGAACAAGGTGATGGCTGCGGATGCTCAGTGGGTGTAGTAATCCATGCCAACTGTTATGTTTAGAATTAGCAGTACCTGTCTTGCCAGCTGCTGTCTTCCGACTGGCCAAGCATGAAATTTAAGAGTGAACAATATGCCTTCGGAAATAAGCATGTGTAAGAACTATTGATTAAACATTTCTTCAAGTGTATCTTCAACAGTATCTTTCTTTATGGATGGTATACAACATCTAAAGAATTCATCATCCGCATAATCCTGGCACCAGAATTGAAGTGCACAGGTGTTTGAACTTGCTGTGATGGTGTGTGCTTATCCCTTTAGTCAATATTGGCATAGAACTGCATGCTGTTCTCAGGGACTCCTTATGTTGGTCTTATGTAGATGGACAGGGAGCAGCCATGGAAGAAATACTTGGCATGGCTCACCCTTCTGATGGTGTCCTGGCCTCCACAGAGCTTGTTATGTCATAGTGCAGGTCTATATATCTGAAATCTCACAGTGTTTCCTGCATGGGATTTCAGCCGTTAGACAACATCACAGGATAGAATTGTTCCACGTTTTGGTCGGAAGACCCCTTTCTTCATGTCACTCGGGGTGAAACAAATATGTGCAGCCAGAACACAAGGCACTTTGGTGCGTCATGGGCTTTCTTGATCTTTGATCTGCACTAGTTTGCTTACTGTCTGCAGAAGTACGTAATTAAGGGCAGAGAGTTTCTTTAAGAAAGAATGGAAGTTTTCTTCTTCCTGCTTGTTTACATCCAGTATTCCTTTACTAATCTGCACAGTTTCAAAGGGCACATTATCTAGCATTGTATTGTGTATTTCCAGGAGTAGGAAACAAAACTGGTGGTAGGCTTCAGACCCTTTTCAACCTCTATTTTTAATGTTACAAAATTCTTGGCATATCTCAGCAGCCTAATCTCCTGTGAACCCTAAAACTGTGACTGATAAGTTTCTGTTTCAGTAGTATCACCTCTCATGTCCCCAAACTTTATGAAAGAAACTTGGCACAGTTTATGATTTTTTTAAAGATCACATTAGCGGAAATCCTGTTGTTTAGCATTTTAAGTCACACTAGACTAGATCCGTTGAACCAGCAGTGATTTGGTGAGCCCAATCCTCCATAACTTCCATTGCTCCAAATGGGTCTACACCAGTGGCGACTTATTTACTTCCGTAGTAAGTAGCAACTAGAGTAGGCCCATTCTTACTTGCGTAGTAAGTAGCAACTAGAGTTTGGCCCATTGGCCCCAGTGGAACGCACAAAGAAGTTGAGTGACCAAATCTCCACTGATTCAGTAGGCCTTCTCTAGTACAACTAACTAAACTAAGAATTTTCACCATTGTCTGAGATATTTGCATTTACTTCCAGAATGGACTTTAGGTTGCAGCCCTTATGGCTCTTTACATTCGCTCACATCCCTGCTGAACTTTTGTGCCTTTTTTTTTAAATTACAGAGGGTTGTGTAGCATAAGATTATTTTAGAAGAGTTTTATGCAGAGTCTTCCTTGCGCTTTATCACTTGGGAGCTAATAATGGAGTAAATGATGTACTTTTGTACACTCCTTTTACCATTTGCTGGGTACTTTCAACATTCATTTGTTAAAAATTGAGCATGCCTGTTACAGTTAACCTTGCTCACTATCTTGTGGCAGGTGGGACTAGGGGAGAACGGTTTATATGCCAGGTCATCAGTTAGTTATTTTTCATAAGCTGTAGCTGACTCAGGATTTTTTTCTGGCCAATTAAGTCAGTGCATTGCAGATGGCATTGCAGATGGTCCCCCAAACAATGTCAAAGCAATGTGAATTTAAAAAAAAGAGAGAACTCAGCTGGATCCATCCTGCCCTGTGTCTTGTTCCTTATAGTGAGATGTCTATTAAAAAACCTAGAAGCAGGATGTAAAGGGAAGTAGCTGTTCCACATGATTGATCCCCTGTCCTTGTAGTCTTCTGTTGATAAAGGAATAGAGTTAGATTTCTATGTTTGTTGCTCCTCAGTGTTGTTCCTTGTTTTAGTAGATAGCTGTCTTGTGTTTGGCTGTTATTATATTAGGCCTTTAAACATCCTCTGTGCCGTTGGTAGACACCTTGGTCACTGTGGTTGTAGGTGAGCTGCTGCGTCCTGTCATTCGCATGCTGCAAATGATGCTTTAACAGGTCTTGATGTTGTATTTCCAGGCAGCCCAGCCATGACGCACAGAAATCTGACATCCTCCAGTTTGAATGACATCTCCGATAAACCTGACAAAGAGCAGGTAAGTTTAGCATTCCTGAGCCTTTCCTCCTTGTGAACGTATGCCAGGAGAGTATGTGTGATGGTCAAGAGGAGACAAGAGTATGAAGACGGGGGAATGGTACAAGCAGTTGGCTATTAGCCACTTTTAAGCAGTGGTCCCTTGAAGAAGAAACAGTGTTATTGATGGTGGTTCTGGTCTTGGTGCTTGACACTGCGTCCAAGAGATCAATCAGTGATGTTGGTTCTTAATGTATCATTTCTGAACCCTTCTTTCTCCCTTTCTGTGGATGAACGCATGTTTACGTGACCATTTTCTTTTAGAGAACTCTGGATTCAGCCAAGGTTCCCCCTCCCTTTCACATAAGACAAGCCTTGCTGAGGCATTTTAAGTCAGAACAAGGCGTGATGATGCATCATTAGATGCACAGGTTGAGTGTGTTGACCCTTCCCCTTCTGTCCAAGTGTGCACTGCCCCACCCACCCCGAATCCTAACTTTGTTGAGTGGTAAGACTTGAGCAGAGCTTTTAGTTGCATTGTTTGAACACAAGCAGAACTCTCCATCCAATTCTGTAGATCCAATCAGAAGTCAATTTATGTGAGATCCTTGTTACTTCTTGTTACTGCAGATATTTGGCATCCAATCTAGATATTGTACATGCTGCACAAATATCTTGAAACACAGCCTGATGAAGATCTCCCTTTGCCTTCTGTCCATCTGATATTTGGAAGCTCATCCTATAAATCCGACATAAGTTTCTGGAAGAGATTGTTTCTAAAGCTTTCAGCTTGGTCTGGTGCTACTGACTGTATCATTTGTCTGCACTGCATTGTTTTCAAAAGCAGAGCATTTGGAATGAAATCTTCATTCCCATTGAGACCCAACTAGTTATCTATACATAAATATAGCAATTATGAATAACTGAAGTTGAATTGGAGGGAGGGGTGCAAATGTCTGTAATCTTTGTTAGGTAGGTCTCTTGTTTAAATATCATCCAGAGGAAAGAAATCTAGCCCAGATTTTGTGGAAATAAATCCATAAAAGTGACTAGCTTGCAGCTGTTTCTGTTAGTTTTATTGGGACTCTGGCCGTTTGGGCTAGAATGTTCTGGGAATTGTAATCCAAAAGGGTGAAATTTCCAGGCCTTGCCTCAAACGTGGTACAAACAAAACACAATGCAACCCTCCAAACAATTTAAATGGCAGTAAGATATAAAAATTTGACCAAACTCCGGGAGGCAGTGGAAGACAGGAAGGCCTGGTGTGCTCTGGTCCATGGGGTGATGAAGAGTCGGACACGACTTAATGACTAAACAATAAAGATATAAAAAGGTGCTCTATCCAGCTAAAATACCCAGATTTAAAAAAAGGTAGTATTCCAGAATATGACACTAGAAGGAAGAACAATGCAAATGAAACCTGTTGTACAGTTGTTAGATTACAACTCATAGCATCCTTCAGCCTTGATTGTATTGGCTGGGAATTCTAAGAGTTGCAGTCTTGCAGGATCTGAAGAGTCACTCTTTATCTTCCTCTGCCATTTTGATCCTGTTCCACCAATGATAATTGCTTGGGTGGATGCAAGGATACACACAAGTTTTCATCATCCACAAATACACTGCACCGATAGTCAGTCCATCTCATCTTTGCCCTTCGTTTTTTTTCCTACTGCCTTCTACTTTTTCTAGCATAATTTCTTTTTCAGTGTGTCTTGTCTTCTCACGATAAAGTACAATAGCCTCAGTTGAGTTGTATGGGCTTCTAATGAGAGTTTTGGCTTGTTATGGAGCCCATATATTTATCTTTCTGGTGATCCATGGTATCTGTTAATTCTCTTCCAAGATCATGCTTTGAATGAAATAATATTTTCCCTGTCAGCTTTCTTCATTGTCCACATCCCTACATAGTAAAGGAATATTATTGTATGGATGATCTTGGCTTTGGTCTGCTGTGGCTCATCCTTATACTGAAGGAGACATCCATATCCTAATTCCTCCATAGCTGCCCTTTCAGTTCTCAATCTTCTGATTCTCTGGCTGCAGTCTCCAGTTTGACTGATGATTGAACCGAGGTATAGGAAATCTTTAACAATCTCAGTCATTAAAGTGATGTAAAACTTCTGTAGTCATTGCTTTTTTTTTTACTGTGTAGGTGACCTTTAGACCTGACCTGATAGTTAGAGGGAGTAGTAACATTGCTGTCTGATCAAGCAACTGTGTGATTTCTTGTTTCTTGAAAACAATTGAACAAAATTCATATGGTCAGTTCCTGTAGTTCTGCATGAGATTGCGTGTTTCTGATAAACAGGACACAGAAATCATAAGGGGATTTGAATATGCTGATCCGTCTGCTTTTTTTCTGGAAAGAGGATGTGTGGTGTGCTTGTTTTTTTTCCCTCTAAAGAAAAACCAGTAAGTGTTTCAGCAGGGGAATAATTCATTATTTAGTGACATCCTGATGTGGATGAAAGGACTTCTTCCTTTACCTTGACAGCTGAGCAGCTCATATTCACGGCTTGCTATGCTACCTACCAGTTTGATTATCCTCAAGGCTGTGTTTGGAATGCCATTCTGCTTAGAAAAATTGGAAACTTATACTGTATTACCCTCTTGTTTTCTGTCTACTGGAGGCTAGACCGATGGAGGAGTAAATTTGCTGACAGACTGCTTTGTTTATGCCTGTAACAATCCTATTTGTCTTGAGAAAGAAGCAGAGGTCTTTTGAAAACACATTCTTCCCCAGTACAGAAGGAGACAGAAAATATGTACCTGGATTTCTGAAATATGTGCCACTTTCTGCTGTTGTCACAAAATTGCTTCACGAGGCTATATACTGTATCTGCACATCATGCTGAAGTACAGAATTAATTAGAAAGAAAGTGAATATTTAAAGTGTGGCAGAATTTCCACATTTGACTTTTGGCTTTTGAGTGCAAAATTTTGGATTTTGAGCATTGACCTATGGCTCACATTTGGTTGACTGCCTCCTTGTGATTTGGGTTCTGTAGGATATCACTACTGTATACTGAACATGTTTCCGGAGTGTCTATTCTTGCGTATTTAAAATGGCACCCTATGTGGTCTCAAAAGAAGTATCAGGAGGGTTAAGGGAACCCTAATGCCTGCAGAGATGCCACAAATCTTTAGAAACACTCTTTTTACCATGTGAGGACTGAGAATGTTCAGTGGGCATCAAATGCTGACTTAGGGTATGGGGTGAGGTTGAAAACAGGTCAGAATGAGAATGCAATGGAGTATCTAGGAAAGCCATGCATCTGGCTGGAATCCTAAACTAGTAATCTGTATATCCATGATTGTATTTTTCCCACTTGTCAGGTATTAAATGCTACTGCCAATGCCCTACCAAATGAGAAATGGCAGCAGCTGGAAACCGAATACTGTGGTGTACGAATTTTGGCAAAATGTCAAATGTGCAGGCCAGAATCCTAATGTTTTAGTATGAGGTTTGCATAACTTGCTACAGGTGATTGATGAGGTATTGGGGTGCATCTGCTTTGTATAGTCAGGCATGTGACGAGTCACATGACCAAAACATCCCCTGACACATCATCATTGGGGTGTGACAGGTTACACTCATCCTATGCAAACATGAGTAGGATTCTGGCCATAATACAATAAATAGCAGAGGAATTCTGTGCATTAGTTGTCTTAGGCATCAATCAGCCCCTAGTATTCCTCTTACAACATCTGTAGAAAGAGGATCTTGGAATAAGTCATTAGAATCCCAGGGACTAGAGCAGTGGTTCCCAATCTTGTTACCGCCAGATGTTCTTTGACTAGAACTTCTAGAAATCCTGGCCAGCATAGCTAGTGGTGAAGGCTATGGGAGTTCTAATCCAAGAAAATCTGGAGACCTAAAATTGGGAACCATTGAACTAGAGCCCTCTTCCATGCATTCCCCCACCTGCACGACAATGTTCCAGTTATACTGTGTTCATTGTGATGCTTTGGGAGTCACTCCGGCTGAAAACTAGAATGTGTGTGTGTGTATGTGTGTGTGTATCTAAAGTTAAAATATGGCTAAATAACACATGCAGATACGTAGTTGAAGGATACTTGATGCTAGGTTTGCAAAGGAAGATTTTGTTGTTGTTTAGTTGTTATGTCATGTCCAACTCTTTGTGACCCCATGGACCAGAACACGCCAGGCCCTCCTGTCTTCCACTGCCTCCCGGAGTTGGGTCAAATTCATGTTGGTCGCTTCGATGATGCTGTCCAACCATCTCATCCTCTGTTGTCCCCTTCTTCTCTTGCCTTCACACTTTCCCAACATCAGAATATTTTCCAGAGAGTGTTCTCTTCTCCTGAGATGGCCAAAGGATTGGAGCCTCAGCTTCAGGATCTGTCCTTCCAGTGACCACTCAGGGTTGATTTCCTTCAGAATGGATAGGTTTGTTCTCCTTGCAGTCCAGGGGACTCTCAAGAGTCTCCTCCAGCACCAGAAAGGAAGATACTTGGGATCAAAGTTTATTTTCAGCCCTTGGGTTAACCTACTTCCAGCTTTGGGATATCTGTGCTGAGAACATTTGGTTATTTCACAGATATAACAAAAGCCTGAGTTTGCAAAGTTCAGCTTGACATCTTTAGAGTGTTCCTAGTGTAGGAAAAGTTTGTGTTGATAAAACATCACCATATCAGGGTGGATAAAAAGTGATTATATAAGCAAATGGATGATACATTTTAATATGAATAAGCTTCCCTCCAAAATGTTTTAACATTTGAGCTATAAATCTGTCTCTAATTCAAACCAACAGGTTCAATACTACATTTAATGATCTGTTAAAACCACAAACCTTTAAACCTCTTGTTCTGTGCAAAGGAGAGAGAGAGAGAACAAAAAACATTTTTCTTCAGCCTCATCCCAGCCTCATCATAACAAGATTAATTCAACGTACTTGTAGTGCTTCTGCCTTTGTAATTGGGTGGAAATGTTAGTGGGTTTAAAATATGACAGTGAAAATCTTGAAAATACAGAGAGGTAAGATTGTACAGTGTCCTTTT